CAAAGAAATTCACCTAACTCGAAAAATCTTATCTCGAGTGAAACTTTTTGCTCTCTCTTCTCGAGACGAGAAATCGCTTTCAAGGGGTGAAATGAAGTTATCACTATTTACGCTAAATTGTCTAAGATTTTTTCCTATTTTTGATATAATTTCACCCAAGAACTTTTTTTTACAATAACTAGAGTATATAGAGTAGAGAATAATAAATAGAGTAAATTCTGAATATTTTTTTAAAACTTTAAAAGTTTGTTCTCATCAGAAACTATTATATTTGAAGAAAATTCATTGAAACTTTGAGCAAAAAAAAAAAAAATCGTATATTTTCGTCAAATATTGTTTCAGGAAATAAAACAATGTTGGAATGCTTTTGTGAGTCACTCTATTATATTCGTTACTGATCTATTCGATATATAAAGAATGAAACGAATGTCGATTTTTTCAATAAGAATCATCGAAAAACAGGATAAAAATTCTTAGCTTCGAATTCGATTTTTAAATGAATACAATTTTAAACAAAAATTTAATTTATTATTATTGTCAAATATTAGACGAATATAGAGATTTTAAACAAAGAATATCCATTAGAGATTCATTAAACAAAGGATATCACGATAGATTTCAAACATCAGAAACATTAAAATGATTTCACGTTACATATTTTCCACATCTCATCAATTTTGTTTCTTAAGAGGAGGATGTTTTTCAATATTGACCAATGTTAAGCAATCGATGCTGAATTAAGAGAAAAATCAATTATTACTCAATTTCTTTTTTTTTTTTTTTTTTTCCTTTTTGGAAATATAACAAGGTCATTGACGAAGAAACGACCAGATTTTACGACATAGATTTATCTCGATTAGGAATTGAATAGAATTTCTTATATGGTTTTGTGAAAGTAGGGCAGTGTCTAGGTAGTTATGTTTTTGCTCTTTGAAACAAATATCGTGTACTTATGTAAGAGATGATGAATCGACGGTGTGTCCTTATCTATCTTGTCAGAATTCTATTTAGCTTTTAATTTCAATTTACATATATACATGTTAAAAAGTACATCGAGCATTATATATCGTCCTCTTTAATCGCAATTTAATTCTATTTACTAATTGAAGCATCCTTCTCCAAGGAAAAATTAACAAATTGCTTAATTCTACGTGACAAATTAAAAAAGTATCAGAAAATATAAAATATTCGCTGGATAGAGAACATTTTAGAACCAAGGACGGAATGTTAAACGCGAAAAACAATCGATCTCGACATTTTTCCTTCTTCTCTGCGAATAATTCACCTATGCTTTTAATCTCGTATATTAAAAAGAAATATTAATACCATTCTTCGTAGTCGTAATTTAATTCCTATTTACATTTAAAGAATCCTTGCTAAGGAAAAATTAATAAATTAACTCTACGTGGCTACGTATAAATTAGAAAAGTATCATAGAATTTAAAATATTCGCTGGATACAACAATTTAACCAAGGACGGAATATTAAACGCGAAAAACAATCGATCTTGATATTTTTCCTTCTTCTCAAGAGATAATGATTCATCTATGCGTTTAATATATTTTAAAATAGGCACAGTTTAATACGTACTTCGAAATTTAAAGTTTTTCCATTTCCATTCGAAGATATTTATATATATATTATGTTACTGAGGAAAAATTAAATAAATTTATAATTCTATACGCGTAAAAAGCGTATATAAATTTTTATTTACGAATTAAAAATTATTGGTTAGATAATTTTAAGGA